AGGCAACTGTTCTTCCTCCACCCCGAACTCCCCAACCACGTGGTTTTAGTTAGAACTGATGATCACAGTACCCAAGCTGGCTCAATCTAGATTATAAAACTAAATTTTTGAATTAGAAAAAAAAAATTACTTTCTTCTGCAAAACTGGAAAGAGGTAGAGTACAGCCTATACCCCTTGTTCTCTCCCAACACCCAAACCAACATGTGGAAGAGACCAGAGGCCAGTAACAGATTGGTTACAAGAGTCAAGCAATTATTTTTACCTAAGCTAGCTAGAGTCAAATTGCTGTAACTTGCAACCAAGAATGTAAAGAAGTTGTTTAATGTGGTCCCGAAGAAAAATAGGTCAAAAAAAGGAGAGGGGACAGTAGTCATTACTGATTAGCCTTTAAGTAAATAAATCAGCTCTTAAGTAATAAGACCATAAAACAAAAATCTGAAATCCTAAAATGAACATATTTAACACAGAAATAAATTCTAACAATTTTAATATGTGGCACTAACTTAAAAGCAGGCCCATTCCAAAAAAATCATGATTCAAATAGATTTGTATATGCCACTATGCTATACAAATATATACAAACTTCTCTATTCTGACTACTGAATTTTGATAATTCAGTACAAATATGCATTCCTAACTCATAAACCAACACTAAAGCTGAAAAGTAACCAATTTTTTCCTGTCGGACATCCTACAGTCATTATTAAGGAAAATGTCATTTTGGATAAGATGGAGAAAATAACCAATTCTTTTGCCACTCCCAAGAGCAGACCATGATTGACCTTCCACTGTGGAAAGTGACCATTTCGTCTTATCATGTAACCAGGTTTTAACATGTGATAGAATATCGTGTTACTTCTCCCTCCTCTGTTACTAGATTTTCTTAAAAGCTTCTTATGAAGGACTTTTAGCAAAATTTTTCATGAAGTCCGAATGAATTAGAACCACTTAGAGCATTTAACCTGTGTCCCCACAATTCCCCTCAGTGTTTTTTCCAGTGTTAATGCCAATCTAATTTGGTGAAACGAAATTCAAATACAGTCCATCTGCTGCTGAGGGCTTCTGTGAGTCCTCAGCCAACTCTGACTGTGATGGAAGGGGGGCATGTGAGAGGAAGGGAGAGGGAGATAGAGCAGCCTCTCTAAGAGCCACAGGCCCCAGGAAAGTTAGGATTATTAGGGACCAAACTCCGTATTGCTGTTTTTTATTCTTCTTGACACTCAGCCACGTGCCCCACCAATTGCAACCTTCTAGAATTTTCACTAATTCAAAAAGTGGCAGAACACAATAGACGAAGAGAGAGGCTAAAGGCTAGGTTGCAGAGTACTCTTGCTTAACAAAGTTACTTCCATGGCCGGGCGCAATGGCTCACGCCTGTAATCCTAGCACTCTGGGAAGCGGAGGCGGGCGGATTGTTCGAGCTCAGGAGTTCGAAACCAGCCTGAGCAAGAGCGAGACCCCGTCTCTACTAAAAATAGAAAGAAATTAATCGGACAACTAAAAATATACAGAAAAAATTATCTGGGCATGGTGGCACGTGCCTGTAGTCCCAGCTACTCGGGAGCCTGAGGCAGGAGGATCGCTTGAGCCCAGGAGTGTGAGGTTGCTGTGAGCTAGGCTGACGCCACAGCACTCTAGCCAGGGAAAAAGAGTGAGACTCTGTCTCAAAAAAAAAAAAAAAAGAATCAAAGTTACTTCCAGCATTAGTCTCAAAAATTTTTCTTTCTTATCAATTTAAAGGAAAAACACAAAACCTTAATGTAAAATTCCTACAAAGAATTTGTGGAACGCTAACTTTATAAATCTTCTAAAGTTCTGCCTCGTGTAGATTTCGTTTTTTAAAATGGAATTCATTAACTATCTTCCTCTAAAGCTAAAAATCACCTCTCATTACCATTCCAACATGATTTAAGTATTGGTTTCTTACCACTATATTTCTTGCCATTGTTACAAAGGCAGGCAATACATAAATAATAATCACCTATCATTTCAAACACTGGAATTAGAAAGAGAACCAGCCAGGCTTCACCTGCTAGGGCCCATGAATCCCCAGAGGGCAGTCTGTAATGTGCTACATACATTACAGGATTCAGAGACAACAAAGGAGAGTGCTTTTACATTTTAGGAGAAATGACCCTTAGCACTGGCTGTTCTCTTACCAGCATGTCGGTGGCACTGAGATAGTGCTTGCTGGCCATGCACTGTTCCAGCTTCTGAGGTACTTGCTTGATATTCTCAATTTCATCCAGCAAGTTCAGGACATGCTTATGTTCAATTCCTTCAATCCACAGTTTCCGAAGCTCATCCCGTTTGCAGTGCAATAGCATCTTGCATGAAAGCAGGTTCTCCTTTACCTACAATAAAACAGATTCAATCTTGGGTCAGTCCAAAGTCTTGCCAGTCTAAAGTCATAACCTGGTAGTCTTCATTGGTGCTCTGAATGTAACAGTTCCTAATTCCCACTCCCAGGTATTCCCCTTGGTTGGTGTACCTACAAAATTCTAATCCTGGTTCTGACGCTCATTCACTTGGGCACATCTCCACTTCTCTATGTCTGTAGATTCTCTCTCATGAAATGAGAAAACTAGTCCTATTCTATCTCTTAGTGAATCTGGAAAAAATTACTAAAGATAAAGCACTCTGAAAATATCAACTACCACATAAATGTTAATAATATCTAAAAAGGGAATGATCAGTGTGGGAGTCCATGATATTATTCCCTCCCCAGTCCTCCTTGCAAATTTCCTATTCAGCTGATAGCTCACTAGGTCCTTTTACAATGCACAGAACTGCTTTCATATACTTTTGACAGTCCTAACATGTATTTTTGTTTAAATTAGAATTTAATATTTGTTTACAGTTTTTTTACAGTTTACAGTTACAGTTTTTTCTGTTTTTTGTTTGAAGTAAAATTTATACCGGAATGCAACTCCAGTGTACAATTTGGTGAGTTTGGCAAATGCATTTACTCATATATTCCAAGCCATCATCCATATATAGGACATTTCCATCACCTCAGAAAGTCTACCATGTTCTCAACAATTGAAAAATCTATATTCTTCATCTACAAGATTTGGTGTAGTGGTGAACATATTCACTGATGCTATGCTTCTGAGATTACAAAACTAAATTTCAACATTTTTCCAACAAGCATGGAAAACATGAAGATAGAATACTAAGATTAGAAGGTTTCTTGAGAAAGCAATTAATCCATTCATACAACTTCAGGACAACACCTAAATCATACTTCTATGAGACTCTCCCATGTTTAAAAAAAAAAAGTCTTGAATAAAAGGACTCTGTAATCTCCCTTGATAAGCATAGTGGAATGATTATTAACTTGGGGGAGGTCACAGACTCCTTTAAAAATCTGTCAAAGCTGATTCCATTTATCTCTACTCCTTCCTGCAATCCTACCAAACAAAGGAATTTCTTTCAAGCATAAAACACAAGAAAAGAGAGAACAGAGAGTAGGAACAGCAAATAAGAGATGACAACAAAATTTTGGAAGTTGGCAAGATGATGGATGGTGGATAATAAAAATTAGCAAGCCAGAGAAATCTGAAAATCTTAGCCTAGAGTAGGGTTTGCTAGCACTGAAAAGGAGGTAGCAAGTATACCAAAGGCAGAGGTGCAGGATTAACACTTTTTATGGGAGTATTTTGAGCCCCAGACCCCCATCATCAAGCCACACAGCACTGGCCAAATCTGGGGAGACTGAATTAGAAAGGATCTGGACCAGGAAATTCCACGCACAGCTGAGGGAAAGGCATGAAGCACCGGACAGAAAACAGGAGGATGAAGTCAAAGTGGAGTCTGTTAAACCAGTGTGATCCTCAGCCTCCTTCAACGGTTAGGTTCCCATAACACTGGCAGCTTGACTTTGAGCCCTAACACAGGAGATTTATGCCTTTCCCCTTAAGACCTATATAGACAGTGACATTTGAGGTTTCACTGGAGAGACTGCTAAGTCCCGCCCCAACCATCACAGACAAGCTCCATAACATGCTCTGAGCTTTCAATCACCTCTACGGATACCTCCCTCTCACATACAAATGGCTAGCCAAGTGTCACCAGACGTTCAAGGAAAGCCTGCAGAATGGGATGACAGGCATCAAAACAAACAAAAAGAGAAAAGTATACTAGAAGGAGGTGGAGGAACAGAAACTATGCAGGAAACAATTTTTTTAAAAACTATAATCAATACCCTTAGGAAAATTAAGAGAAGGTATTACACCAACGAAACAAGGACATGATACTATAAAAAGTTTTAAGAAATGAAAAACAAATCTTAGAAACTAAAAATGTAATAGAAATTTTAAAAATCCAATAGAAAGGTTAGAAGATATCCTTGAGGAAATCTCCAAACAGAAAACAAGAGACAGAAGGCAAAAGAAAACAAAGGGATGGATTCAAGAGGCCTAGTACTAACCAAACAGGAATTCCAGGAGAGGGAAAAAATGAGAAAAATAGAGTGGAGAAAAACACTTATAAAATAATAAAAGAAAATTTGCCAGAACGAAAGACTTGAGTTTTCAGATTGAAAAGGCACACCAAGCACTCAAGAAAATGAAGTGCAAAAAAGACACAAGCCAGGGCATTATCCTGCCATGTAAGAACATAAGGCATAAAGAGAAAACTTTAAAAGCTTTTAAGAAAAGAAAAAGCAGGACCTGTACAAAGGTTTGTGAACCAGAATGGCATCAGACTTTCTTCAACAGTGACATTAAAAGCTACAAGACGAAGAAGGAACAACAAACCTTCAAAACTCTAAGACAGAATCATTTCCCAGAAAAACTATCAATCAAGTATGAGGAGAGAATGAAGACATTTTCAGACATGCAAGCTCTCAAAAAATAAACTTCATATGCACTATATCTCAGCTAATGACTAAAAAATGTGCTCCATCAATACGAGAGAAAAACAGAATAAAAGAAACATAGGATCTAGGAGAGGGGAAATCCAACACAGAAGGAAGGTACCAGCTCTATTCATTTATTAACTCCAGGGACAACAACGGCAGCATCAAAATTGCCCAAGAGAAAACATACTCACAGTATACTATATGGCTTAGATGTCAACATTTATGTAGTTATAATAAGGTAAGCACTGATTATTTATTTAACCAAAACTAGGATACGACCATATAGAGAGGATGAAGGAAGAAGATGTGGTGGGAGAATGGTCGAGAGGGGGGCTAAATCTTCATCTTCCATAGCTGAAAGTCAATATACAATGCCTAAAATAGAACACTCCAGGAAAAGTAGCATAGGTATACTATCAGAAATAGAAATACCTGGGGGAAAAAAACAATCAAAAGAGTAAAAATCAGTGCCGATGAAGGGTTGTAAATGGAAATGGGGTAGGATGAAGGAGGGGAATTCTGGTTTTAGTACTGTTTGTGGTTTTATTTGACTTTTAAACACATCTTTCAAGGCCACTGCTAGATCCCAATGGAGTTCTCAGTTTCTGGGTTAAGAACTCCAGCTACTAAATCCATTCCATTTTAAATCCAGTTAAAATCTATTAGAATTTGATTTCTGATATTCTACTTGTATCACCTTGGTTCCATAATTCCCAGTTTTTTCCTCCATGTGTAATGGAAACAGTTAACAATAGATTTTATGTCATATAACACCCAACTAGGCTCTTGATCAAGAGAGTGGGGGATAAACTTACAGAGTGTCAGCAAAGCTCGGCAAACTCCTATCTGATTGGGAAAAGACCATTATGGTATTTCACGCTAGGCTATATAAAATGCAATCAGCTCACTTCTCACTTTTGCTTACTATATGGAAGGAACAGTGAAAAGGAAGGTGGAATTGGCAGGCGCAGGGAGAACACTGGCATTGGGCTATGTAGAAAATGAACATCAGCAAAATTATTCCCTAAACTGAGACAACAAAGCTACAGACCTAAGAAGTTACAAGAACTTTTAATACTAAATTGCCCTGGGGCTTCAGCTTTATGATTAGAAAGTCAGAGTTATGAAGAAAAGTTATTTTAAAACTTGGGGGATGGTCAGCAACAAAAAAAAAAGCAACATGAAGAATCTCAGAAATATGCTGAGCAAAAGAAGCCAAACACAAAAGAGGACATATGTATCAAGTTCTAGAACAATCAAAACTAATCTGTAGTGACAGAATTCAAATCAGGAGTTGCTTGGAGCAGGATGTGGAAGAGAAATGACTGCAAAGAGGCAGGAGGGAACTCTCTGGGGTGATGGTAACGTATTCGAGGATACATATGTTTGCCAAAATTCACTGAACTGTACTCTGAAAATATGTGCCTTTGACTGTATGTAAATTATATCTCGGTAAAGATGGGAAGTACAGCCATTATGGAGAACAGTAGGAAGGTTTTTCAAAAAATGAAAAAATAGAACTGCTATATGATCCAGCAATCTCACTGCTGGGTATATAGCCCAAGGAACTGAAATCAGTATACCAAAGAGATATCTGCACTTCCCACGATCACTGCAGCTTTATTCACGCTAGCCAAGACATGGAATCAACTTAAGTGTCCATCGACGGATAAATGATGGGGTATAAAAGAATGTGGCATATACACAATAGAATAATATTCATCCTTAAAAGAGAATAAAATTCTGTCATTTGTGACAACATGGATGAACCTGGGGACATCATGTTAACTGATACAAGCCAGGCCAGAAAGACAAATACCTCACGATCTCATTTATACGTAGAATCTGAAAAAGTCAAACTCATAGAAGCAGAGAGTAGGACAGTGGTTACAAGGGGCCACGGGTGAGGGAGATGGCGTTGGGAAGATATTGGTCAAAGGATATAATATTTCAGTTAGACAAGAGAAATAAGTTCAAGAAATCCATTGTACAACATGGTGACTTTAATAATGTATTGTACACTTGAAAATTGCTAAGAGAGTAGATTTGGGGTATTCTCACCACAAATAACTGATAAGTATGTAAAGTAATGCATTGTTAATTAGCTTGATTTAGCCATTCCATATGTATACGTATTTTAAAACATGTAGTATACTATAAATATATATAATTTTCATCAGTTTTTAAAATTTTTAAAATAAGGACTTTTTAATGGGGAGGGAGGAAAAGTGCTATGCCCATCAATGAATAATAACATTCAAAAATGAGAAAGGTACCAAATAACACTGAAACATTTATTTCTCAAATCTCTATTCTACTTTTATAAATGTGATGACAGTATTTTCATTTCATTCTATTTAATTTATAAGGATAATTAAGACTGAAAAAT